TGGGCAAATTGGCTGCCACATTTGCCTACAAATACACAGCCACTACCACGTCACAGTAAAATTCCGTGGAGTGCTTTGAGCTGCTTGATAAGGCACAATATCAAATCCAAGGATTTCTATTTTATTATTATTTCAAAGTAGAATTTGGCAAATTGCTAAATTTCTTCAAAGTACTTAGAGAAAACTGGCTGCAAAATTAAAGCTATAGTTTAGAATTTGCCAAATTCCACACTTTATGAAATGCTACATGACCAGAGTAAATCTAGACCCAGTGGAATATCACCCTAGTGCTTTTGCAAGAAATGATTTTGCAAGCGGAGGAGGTACACAAGCATCCGATACCCAAGATGGTGATAGATAGCAAACTGTGGTGTATATATTTAGCAGGTGACATATTTATTGGAGAGCATGCATTACAATTTATGTATATTAATGCACATTCTATAACATCCAAACATAATGTACCATGCATGACTTATGGTTGTAGAGTATATCTTTTATAAAGCACATACACTATATATCATAAATAATAACTGAAGAGATTTGCTTTGGGCTGGTCAGTAAATATAATGCTTCTGTCGACAGTCGTAAAATGTGTCAGAGTGGGTGAGTATAATTGCACCGAATTGCTGCCTTATAACGCCAATCTCAACCATCAGTTATCATATTGTATTAATACATAAACAGGTATATATACACCTGCACATAAAATGTCACTGAAACAAATAGTTGGTCAATACTTTCATTGAATGTAGAGATATGGTACATCCCCAAACCATTTTCTCTCTTCACCTGTTGCATTTATTGCTGTTAGCAGACTCATTTTAACTTATTAGCCCTGCTCAGGGGATAGTTCTTTGACCAGATTACACATTCAGACTCTTAATTCACATAATAATTTCCTTCCATTTGAATAATAGCTCATTATCACATTGAAATGTCTCAGAACATCTTACAATATTTACTTTCAAGTGTAGTGACTATGTATTTTGTAGACTAATGCAGTAGTTAATTTGCGCATGGCGATGTCCCACAAACAGCCATAGAGTGAATGATTGGTTTTGGAGGATTGTTGGCCGAAACACCGGAAGAAACTCACTTGTGTTTTCAAATAGTGTCATGGGATCTTTAACATCCACCTGAACAGGCAGACGGGACCTCAGTTTAACATCTCAGCCGAAGGATAGCGCCTGTGACAATGCCGCGCTCTCCTAGCAGTGTATTGCAGTGTCAACCTAGACCTTGAGCTCAAAGTCCCCAAAATGGGATTTGAACTCGCAACCTTCTGACCTAGATTGTCACCATCTGAGCTGAGCTGACATAATCGTTGTGTTTGATACAACATGGAAACATCTCAAAGTGTATCACAGGGAATTACTGTCAAGTGCAGTGCCTGTGTATTTGGAGGCAAATACAGCAGCCAATGTGCACACAGCAAAGTCCTACAAAAAGCAATGAAGTGAACGACCAATCTAAATGGAGGAATGTTGGCCTGGACATCTCTTAAAGCAAAGAACTTCTCATTCTAAATAACTGTGTGACATGTTTTGAGACATTTCAACTTGGTAAGATTCCAGTATTACAGTTTATATCACATGATATATTTTGCTGTAAAGTATAGACACAGACTGCATATTATATAATTATAGCATCATTCATGTAATATTTTAATACTAGGGAGCATACTTCAAAAAAATAAACAATGACTGGATGTACAAGGCAGTAATTAAATCTGGGGTTGCAATGATGTTGTAAAGTGTGAGGACTCCCAGATGACTAAGACGTAAATGACTTGCATTCTGCAGTGCTGAGCCACACAATAGGAAAGTTCCATGTCTGATACCTATGGCTGTGATCCTTGTCCCTGGCTGGGGAGAGAGGAGAGGGAGAAATCAACCAGGGCTTCATGATCTCGGTCTGTTTGATCACCACTGAAGGGTGCGCCTGTGAAGACGTCAACTGAGAACTAGAGCATAGTTCAGCTGTATATCCTTCCATAGCTTCCAGGTTCATAAAGGAAAAACAGCCACTTAAGCAAAGCAGCAGAAGGCCACCAAGCAGCTATGAAGCCTTTAGGAAAGGAGGAGAGAAAGGGGAAAACAATTGTGGGGCATTGCTGAGTGCAAAATTGGCTGCTGCATTTGTCTACAAATAGACAGTCACTACACTTCACCGTAAATCTTGTGAAGTGCTTTGAGACATCTCAACGACGTGAAAAGGTGCTGTGTTAAACACAAGGATTATTATTATAAAAATTGGAAAAGCTTGACTGAGGGATTTCTGCGATGAAAGTGTGGATTTGCATTCACTCTGAAGGAATGCTGTACGGAAAATACATTTATCAAGAAGGTTTATCCCTGAATCATATATTAAAGCAGTTTAGACATCTTTTAAACATCAGAAATACTGCATTGACTTCAAATCTCTCAGAGACCCGTTGGCCCATTTGACTCTTTATTTATGTAATTGTAGTCATTGGATGTCAGGTCACGCTGGAATTGTTCCCTTAACTATGTTGGATGATGTCGGTGTCTTCATGCCCTACCCAATCTGAGATGATTCTGTTTATTACTGGTAATATCCTGCGGCTCAGTGCAACTCACCGTAGGGTTGAGAAGATGAAACAGTGCGTCGCTCTGGCAAGTGTAAATACTGCTGTGATTCGATCCATTTCCCGAGTGGATTATATATGAAGTGCTTTGAGGTGTCCTCCCAGATGTGAGAAGTGCTGATTTGTCAGACATGCCAGACATCCTTCTGATGAGACATTAAACCGAGGACCGTCTGCTTATCCAGGTGAACATTCAAGATCCCGTGGCACTACTCAAAAAGAGAAGGAAGTTTCTCCTGGTGTCCTCGCCAACAATCTCCCTAATAAAAATTAGTCACTCACTCCTTGGGTATTTTTGAGACATTGCTCTATGCAAATTGGTTGCCACGATCACACACAAAACACAGTTACTCCAGTTAATATTATATCCTGTGAAATGCTTTAAACTTCTCGATGACGTGTTAAGACGCTACATCAAGTGCAAGGATTAAGGTTTTATTATTATATCAATGTGTATTGGATTGGAAGTTTCCATGGGTCTGTGTGGCCCACATCAGGTCCCCAGTAGGAGTCACTATTTACCAGTTCAAGTAAGCAACAACAATAACAACAGGAGGACGTCCCAAGACGCTGGTCAAATGTCCCATTTTTAACAACTTGAATTTATTAGCACCCTTCCCGCAAGACAGCATCTCAGAGTGCTCCACGGTGATGGGGTAGACTCTAAGCAAGGCTTTTATCCCAATAAGTCTTTTTTTTCCACGTATAGAGATAAAAGTTAATGGATATCTGAGTGAGCAACATTGTCAAGGACTGTTCAAGTGCCAGATAATGTTATGAGCTATTTTGTATTGACTTTTCAATATGCACAATTGCAAACTTACATTTATATAGCACCTTTCATATCAGGAGAACACAAAGTGCTTAACAGTACTGTCTGAGCACCTGAGCTGGGGGTGGGAGCTGAGTGAGGGAAGGAGGGAGAGGAAGGTTGACCGAAAGCATGTTCAGTAACGTAGGTCAGTTGCTTGTGGGGCTTTGCTCTGTACAAACCGACTGCCGTGTTCACCCAGTCACTGCATTCCATAGCAATTCCCTGTTAAGGCGCTTGGTGAGATTTTGATCTTATAGGTGCCGCATCAAATGCAAGGACTGTTATTGGTAACATGACAAAGCATCTGAATCCCAGGCAAGAATTAGCCTCGAAACGTACAACGAACACCGGCTGGTGCGGAGAGGAAACGTTTGCTGCAAAGTTTGCCGTCACTTTGCCAGCGCCCGCTGGCAAGTGCGGGAAGCAGCCCGGTCGCTGGCGAGTTAAGACGGTGACAGTACAGCAATGGTCAGCTGCAGAGAGAGGGAGAGGGAGGGAGAGGGAGATGCAAGCGACATTGCGCGTTAGTCGCACCACCTTTGCCACCTTCCCTTGCAACAGCACAATCAGAGAGCTCGCACTCTCTCTGGGCTCTGGCTGGTCTGTGCTGAGCTCCAGCCCTTATATACAGCTCTAAAAATAGCTCCCGTTCCAACGCCATATTAGGCAGCCGGGGGAGACCCACCAGCAGCCTATCGGGGGCTGCAGCTCATCGGGCCGCTGAGCGAGAGGGCCGACTCGTTCCGTCTCGGTGCCTGCGATTGGTCGTCAGTGACATCAGGTCCCTCTGCCCTTACATGGAGCGGGCAGGAGCTTTGATTGACAGGTTCTCCCTGCACTCCCATCTCTCTCTCTCTCTCTCTCTGTATCTCTCTCTCTCTCTCTCCTCTCCCCTCCCCCACCCCCATCCACTCCACAACCACCACACACTCTCTCTCTCCACTCATCGTATCTGGAGCTGAGTGGTGCTCTCTGCTTAAAAAAAAAGCAAAGAGAGAGAGAGAGAGTGTGTGAGAAAGAGGAGGAGGAGGAGGAGGAAGGGGTGGGTGGGTGGATGGATGGATGGACGGGGGAGGGAGAGAGCGAGAGAGAGAGGAAGGAAAAAGGGGGAAAAAAAATTAAAGCAAGGATAGCACACACACACACACAGAGAGAGAGAGAGAGTGTGAGAGTGTGAGAGTGAGTGTGAGAGTGTGTAAGTGAGTGAGAGAGTCAGAGCATCGCCAATGCGGAAATAGATGGACATCACATGCCTGTGAGACTTGAGCCAATTCTTGCCCGAGGATCTTGTGGGGTCGGAGGCTGCAGGAGCTTTGGGAACCCGAGCTGCCCGCTTCACAACCGGGTTGTCCCGGGTTTGCCCCGTCCGCGAGTGGGCGAGACCTGGTGCTGCTGGTGCTGCTGGTGCTGGTGCTGCTGGTGCTGGGGTGCAAGTCGCAGAGGGATCGGAGTTTGTCTTCATTAGCATCTGCAATCCCCTTCTTTCCACCCCCCCCTCCTCTTCCTCTCTCCCACCCATCCCCACCCCCTCCCCCTCCTTTCCCCCCCTATCCCCCCACCCCCACCCATCACCTTTCCCTCGGACCTCTTCCCCCGTCGCAATGGACGTGTTGGCGAATTACAGTATCTTTCAGGAGCTACAGCTGGTCCACGACACGGGTTACTTCTCGTCCCAACCTTCCCTGGAGGAGAACTGGCAGCAGGTGAATACACTGGTGTGATGGGCTGGAGTGAGATGGGGGGGTGGGGTGGGGGGGGAGAGGGGGGTAAAGAGAGAGAGAGAGAGAGAGGGGGTGAGGGGTGACATCTGGATCTGGTCAGTCCTGAAGGTGATGTGGGAGCAAAAGAGGGCAAAACGATCGCTCATTCAGACCAGAGTCTTAAACCGGTTCAGTGTGTCACCCCCTCGTCTCCCGGTGAGAGCTCTTCACTGGGAAAGGATAAACGACAGCAACAGCAAAAAGTGCTCAAAGTAACTTATATGCAGATATATATATATATATATATATACACACACAGTGTAAAGAAATTGAAATAAAAGCAAAGTTTTCCTTCTTTGAAATGCAGTCGATCTCGGTCGGTAACTTTACCCCCACAACCCCCCCACCCCCACACACACCTCCACACCCCCACACACACACCTCCACACACACACCTCCACACCCCCCCCCCCCCCCACACACCCCCCCCCCCCCACACACAACACCCCCCCCACACACACACCCCCCACACCCCCCCACCCCCACACACCCCCCCCCACACACACACCCCCCCCACACACACAACCCCCCCACACACACCCCCCCCCACCACACCCCCCCACCCCCCACACCCCCCCCCACACCCACAACCCCCCCACACACACACCCCCCCCCACACACACACCCACACACTTTGTCCGGTTTCGATAAGAGGGGAAAATCATTGCAGATGTAACGTTGACGGTTCTCTGATTTGAGAGCTTAAGAATTCCTGTGTGTAACGATCTGAAGGGCCGATGATGATGACTCTGCGCCCGATCTCTGACAACGACTTAGAGAGAGAGAGAGAGAGAGAGTTGAGCGGAGCGTCCGGTGGCGAACGTTGTAATTATTGCCAAATATGACTCCCACTATTGCAATGCCTTTCTCTCCCTGAAAGCACATCACCTTTTTTTTAAACTCTCTCCCTCCTTCCCCCTCTCTCTCCCCCTCTCCTTCTCTCTCTCCCCCTCTCCCTCTCCTCTTCTCTCTCCCCCTCTCCTCTCCTCTCCTCCTCTCTCCTCTCTCCTTCTCTCTCTCCCCCTCTCCTCTCTCTCCCCCCCCCTCTCCCCCCCTCTCCCTCTCTCTCCCCCCCTCTCCTTCTCTCTCTCCCCCCCCCCTCTCTCTCCCTCTCCTTCTCTCTCTCCCCCTCTCTCCAGTCAGTTTCATCGCTGTTTAATGTGATCTGCGGATCTTTGGTGCAGAACCAGACTTAAGACTTATTTCTCTCGGTGTCCGATCGTAGCATTGATTCCAATCTGTTGTGAGTTTTAGACGCCCGAAGGGTTCTCTCTCTCTCTCTCTCTCTCTCTGTCTGTCTCTTTCACATTCACTCTCTCTCTCTGTCTGTCTCTTTCACATTCATTCATTCACTCTCTCTCTCTATCTCTCTCTCTCTGTGCAATTGACCAATGTTCAGAAATTCAGACCTTGTGGTGTGGTGTCTGTATCCCAGTAACAAATAGCTGTCAAAGTGAAGGCAAATGGGACTTAAAACGCAGTAACAGCCGCGATTAATGGGATCAGTTAAATTAAACCAGTGCTCGTTACTGTAGCCATTTGTCTGGAGCATCACTTGGATGGCGAGTGTTATCGCTGGAGATCGCAGACACTGCCTTTCCACTCACAGAGAGAGGGAGAGATCTGTTTTCGCTTTGCATTTGCCTATCTGATGATTTTATACTCCACTGAAAGAGTTTCCATTCACTGAGTTAATGCTGAGAGGTCATGGTGTGTTTGTCTCTCTCTCTCTCTCTGGGAGACAGATTTTGTCTGGGGGCTTATTTTTTTTTGGGTGTGTGTGTGTGTGTGTGGGGGGGGGTACCTGTTGTTGGCTTATCTCGCCCATTGCCCTCTCTGTTTTGATTCGGATGCTTTCCGACATCCGACTGCATCCATTCCCAATCGCTCCCTGTGATGTGGTACTGGCGAGTGGCCACAACCTGTGTCAGATCAGTGCTGGTCGTTATTTTGGTTGAATTGCAAAGTGTCACCAGGTGTGCGAGATGCTGGTAAAGGTAGATGTGTGTGTGTGTAGGGGGAGGGGGAGGGGGTGATCTGGACGACACTTATTCACTCAGTAAATTCCTGATCTCGATGAGGAAGGTACTGAGATTTAAGAAGACTCCTTATTCCTCTTCTCTACCCCCCCCCCCCCCCCCCCAACCCGGAAAGGCTGCATCAGTTGTGATCAGATCATTCACACATTGACTTAATGAATCAATTAAGTGACTTGACCTAATTGGTGGTACGGGGTTGAGGGAAGAGACTACTAGTTTCCTCTTAATTTTTTTTGTGGCTGTCTCGAACGTTACAGTCTCAGACATGGCTGCGCTCCTTTTCGAAAGAGGAATGAATCCGAGCTGATGAGTGCCGCTAAGGGTTAACGGACTGTTCTCCGATCCATTGAACCACGATGTAGACGGGTTGTCTTTGTTATAAATGTGCGTAGTGAGCCTCTCACTGTAACAGTTGGCATCACTGATGCTCAGTGAATTCCTCCTTCTCCCCAACCACCACACACATACAAATTGTTTTGTTCACACTTCCTGGATAACGTACACTAGTTATCCAGTTGAATGGAAAATCTCGGGTAAAGTGCACTAGTTATTGAGTTGAATAATAAATCTCAGGTGACGTGTACTGGTTATTGAGTTGAATGGTGAGTCTCGGGCAGCGTGCATTAGTTATCTGTAAAATGGAAAATCTCGGCTAACATACAATAGATATTGAGTTAAACCCTGAAACCTAAGTAACATGCACTAGTTATCCAGATAGATGCTGAATCTTAGTTAATGCATATCAGTGATCTGTTTAAATTTTGAATCTCTGATGAGGCATGCTAGTTATCCAGTTAAGCACTGAACATGGGGTAGTTATTAAATGCTGAATCTCAGTTCTATACAGCAGTTTTCTAGCTCAATGCTGAATCTCGGATAATGTTTGCAGTTAAAAAAGGAGTTCTAATGAATGCCTTTCACATAGCATAACCTCTCAAAGTACTTCACAGATACCCGACGTGGGGGTGGGTCAGTATGTTGACCAAGCCCTGGTTGAAGAGAGGTGTTTTGATGTCTAGGAGACAGAAGACAAGGTGAACAGATTTTGGGAGAGAGTGCCAGTGAGCCACTTATTATCCGGTTAAATGCTGACTCTCGAGTGATGTAAATTAATTGTCTCGTACTGAATATTGAAATTCAGTTAATGTGGATAGCAACCTGTACATTAGTTATCCAGTTAGTGCCACAGGACTAAACAATGTAGAAATGTACAGAAGAGAAGAAGGCTATTTGGTTCATCGTGTTAACGTCTGTGATATTTGCTTAAAGCACCCACCACGTGTTGTCTGGCTGGAACGATTCCATTGTCTCGGCATTTTACCGCAATCGGCTGGTTTAAGGAGCACTTTATGGTATTATTATTAGAATAATAATATCAACGCTTTGATATACTGTTTTGTTATCTGGTTAAGAAGTCTCAAAGCATTCATAGGATTTTACTGTGAAGTGTGGTCACTCTATTTTGTAGGTCAAGATGGCAGACAACTTGCGCACAGCAATGTTCCACAAATGACCATGAAGTGAGTGACCGACTATTTTATTTGAGGGATTGTTGGCCTGGCCTGTGCTGTAGCCTGACAATGTCTTGAGTGATCACCTCTCCCTATCCATATACCACATTAAATTGTGAATACTCTGCTTGATGGCAACTGTGTTCTAGATATAAACTCTTTACTCCTCTTGCAAAAAAACCCACCAGTCAACAGTTTCCCGCTTGTCACCATGCTTCACGTGAAATCTGCTCCTGCGGTGAGCAGCCAGACATAGAGCGCTGTTAAATTTACCCAGCACAGCATACGATTAAATGACCAATGTGTTTTTTTTTGTCAATCTAGAGGACAAACTAGTTCAGAGAGAAAGCATGACTGGGTACAGTCAGTGATCTGAATTGTCTCAGAATCTGCAGTGTCTCTGAGCTGTCACAGAGCCCACACATGCGTGACCTTTGTTTATCCATCTCCCCGTGCAGCACTGCTGAGATGAGGAACTCAGTGGTGTAGGACAAGCTACTGATCTTGCAAGTTGTTGTTGATCTGGTGGGGTATGGACTCTCTGGTGCGTTAGACCACCTATAGCTCTTATTTCTCTGACTCAGAGAGTGTTGTAAATTCTTACACCGTGAGTGTTTCTGATATGTAAAAATTGTGGGACGTTGCTGAGCTGAAATTGGCCGCTGAGTCCATCCACAATCTGTACAGTTGCTTCACTTTACAGTATATCCTGTGAAGCGCTTTGAGACATCCTCCAGACGTAAATGGCACAATATTAAATGTAACAATTATAATTTATTATTAATACTATCCAATTTACATTTGTGTATGTATGTGTGTTTATATAATGTATATTGTATGTGTGGTGGTTGTACACGTGTAGGTAGGGTGGAGAGGCTCTGAAGGAGCCAGGCTCCCTAACGTTAAGGATCGGCTCAGTGGAGCAGAGCAACCAGCTCTTGAAAGACCCGCTGCGGTCCCAAGCTTGTGCCACACACAATTCTCTAGAGTCTACACCATGGAGTCTTCCAACATCATCACAATCACAACTGTACCACTGTGTTAGTACAGTTGTAGTACAGCACCAGCATGTGAGAGGCAAGCTAGTGCTGGGCAAAAATACTGTAGCCTGTGACACCAGAGGTGGTCAGAGGTTGGATACTGTGGGCTCGCTCTGTTTATGAAGCTAGTGAGATGTTTTGCACTGTGACACCACACTCGTGTGCTTGGAAGTGTGTACGTGTGCAACGACTGTATGTGTACAAGTCAAGTTAATGCCAACTTGGGAATGCGATCCCACTTGTGAACGGCATGATGTGGGAGTCACGTTTCCCACAGGACAAGTCTATTTTTTAAAAAAAATAAATGAATATCCAGCTTGAGAATTGAGACTACCGATTGAGGATTGAAGGAT